GACAGAAACTTACAACTACAGATCAGAAGAAGAGTTTGTATTTAGCTACTTTAAGAAACTATTGAACACATGTACACTGCTGTTTAGTTGCTACTGCACTTATCATGCTAACAAAGCATTTAAGCTAATACTTCTGATCAGGTAGCAACAAATTTTATCAAAACAGTTAAAAGTCGATCAAAATAAAAATTTACAAATTTTTTTTGAAGATATACTCCTATGGGCACGTTCGGCACTACAGAGTAACCGAAAAATTTTAGATTGGTGACCTTAAGAAAATGTGTAACGGAAATGAATTTCTCATTTTATCTTCCCCTCACCTCGTCCCACCAGTCCCCTGTACGCCTTCTCGTCTCATCATGCTGCAGTGCTACACCAGCAGTGTATTTGCCTCTAAACCTCCTCGCACCACATCCTGCCACGCTTCTCCACGCTATTTCCATCTCTTCCAAACCACACCATACATTTTGAATTTTTTTTTCTGATGCTAGTAATTCTGACTGTTTTTGGATAACCCCCGATCTTCTATACACGAGCCGAGTACCTTACCCATTTCGCCATGAGCGGTCCTGATTTAGGAAATTCAATTATTACTAACTGTGTGGTTCATAACTTATTTTTAGAGTAAATTTTTATTTATTGCTTATAAATTAATTTTGCTCGATTATAGATGACAGTAATACATACATAATTAATTTAATGAACTAATTTTCTTCGTTAAACATTTTTTTTTAAACTTAGAAATTAGTATGTTATAGCAGAGCATGTATTAACAAACATTTATTAATTTATTATCAATTTGTTTCTTTTGGAATAAATAAATACTTGATTGTACAATTTTTTAACATTTTTCCAAAATTTTCAGAAATAAGAAAAAAAAATTGTTAGTACCGTATAAATACAACAATCGATTATTGTTCCGTTTTCTCCTTTCACAAGTTTTTCTTTGGGATTGACATAATTTTTAGACTTAAGGATTTTTCTCATTTGGATATAATTACATACATGCATTTACGCATACTTGATCCCTTTTTTTGTCTTATTACAAAAAAAAATTACAGATCTATTTAAAAATGAAACAGTTGTATATAAAAGTAATCTTCTCTACAAACAAAAGTTGGGAGAAATATACAGATCTTATAAATGCAAGTTTTAGTGATTTTTCCATGAGGTTACATGTTAAATTGCAATTTTTCAAAATTTAACATGCGAAAAAAAGTACAGTTAAACGATCTGAAATTTTTTTTGGGCATTTCTTATGCTATTTTGAGCATTCTCTGTCATGTTATTCTATACTATTGAAAAAAGCTGAACTTCAGGAAAGTGTATCTTAATTTTTAAGATACGATTACATTAAAGGTATTAAGTATTAAAAAAAACGTTTAAGTATATGTAACAGATGTGATTATAACGTTAGAGATGTAATCAGTGTAGGCGGTGGGAAATTGTTTTTAAATCATCGGAAGAATTATTAAACTGCATAGTCTTTTACTGGCCAGCCTATAGATTGTTTATATCGTATTTTGCCATAATACATTTTTTTACAACTGTTCAATTATTAAATATTAAAATATTTATTGAAACCACTCCCAACTAAGGTAGGTGTACTAATTTCATCGATAATTGCACTGATATTGTATACAATATCGTTTCATAGAACGTATATTTATAAATGTAATTAAATTATTTGCCATATAATTTTATAGAAGTCTAGCTTCATATTTGGCTACCCAAGCACTTACTGTCTACTGTTTTTGTTTTATTACACATCAAGATTAAATTTTTTTTTACAGAATTATATACATGTACTGATAATTTCTCTCTCTTTTCCAAATCAATGTGGATAGTAGGACGAGTTGACAAACTGATAAAAAAAGTACTCAACAAATATTATAAATAAAACACATCCTTATTTCTGCGATAAATACTTTGTAACACATGCCAAAATATATCGCAATACGATTCTTCACGCTTTTCGAAGTTAAAAAAATTTGCTCAGTAGACTGTTCAAATACACCCTAGCCCAGCCGTTAGAAAACCCAGCCACGACAATATCAGAGATCTATAGAAAAATTACAAGTTACTTATAACAACAATAATAACAAAAATAATAACATCGACTCTAAGCATAAACTATTACCACTGTATTCAACAAAAACTATTACCACTGTATTCATGGCATAATACTAAAAGTAGGATTTTAACAATACCATGGAGTAAAATTTAAACACCAAACTAACAAAAAAAAATTATAAGTTAATAAATGAAGAGAGAAAAAACATGTAGCAGAATTGATACCTAACGCACGCATTAAAATTAAGTAGTCTAACATCTATGCATTATTCCTCAACTATACTGTGTTACGATAAAAGCATGAGTGTAAAATAATTTATCAATATTTTTTTTAAGTCAAGAAAAAAGAGCTTTATCAGCTTAATAAATCCCATCCTTAATAATCTCACATATGATGATCATGATGATGACGATGATAATGATGATGACGATAATGATGGTCACAATAACAATTACGATGAACAAAATAAAGATAATAGTTATGATGATGTTAATTACGATGACGATGACGACGACGATGACGATGATTATAAACATTATCGTGATTATACAGACGTCAACTGACGAAAAATACAACGCATTTAAAGTAATTTATTTAGATTTAATTGAAAGTATAATTGTACTGTATAAATGTATGGTGTAGTCATTCTTCTTAATTTCATGATGGGACATTAGAAGTATTTTATAATAGTCACTGGGGCTCAGTAAAAATCTAATCTCTATTGAGATTGCGTGTGCTGTTGCCTAATATAAAGTGCTTTTACCATATTTCGCAAAGAATTGTGTAAATCATTCACGACTAGCTCCTTATCATCTGTCTCTTAACGGAGCAGCTGAGAATGCTGTAAAGCTTTTTTAAAATAAATTTAAGCTACTGACACTAATAAATATACTGTGCTATGGATCATTTAACAAATTTTTTTTTTTGGCTGGATTACTGCGACAGTTTACTGACTTAGTCATTGGAGTTACCCACTTATTTTCCACGTATGGGCGTTCATTGCTACACTTATTTACCAATCTCTGCCTTTAGACCTACCACTGCTTTGCATTCACTTAGACCTAAAGATCTTCGGAGCAAGGATGAAACTATGGAATTACTCTCAAGAACAACGACACCTTAAACTATGCCCCGAAACAGCTGCAGTTGTATATAAATTTTTTTCTATGAAATGAGTTTTTGAAAAAGTCTGCATTCACAAGGAATCAAGCTTATGACTTCTATGACGATATTGTATTAGTACCAAGAACGCTTACCACTATGCTGACACTGTTCCTTCATTAAATAAATTTGTATTGTCATTCTGCATTGCACTGTACCATACTACATGTGTAACGTCAACCGAATCCCAAATTTGACTGAAAATTAAAACGACTTTCGAAGCCATTTAGCCATTAATTAGGGATAATGTTGACCCAAGAAAAATTAAAACAATTTTACGAGCGAGATGGATAAGGCAGTTTTAATTAATATTAAAGTATCACGCTATAGTTTTTTGAAATAATAAATGTAAACCTACTATACTTAACCGTCAGCTTGGCCCTGTGACCTATTCTATGAGACACTGGTCGAACAATTAAATTTCTTTACATTTTTCTCAAGGTAAAAGTTACTGACTTCTTATCAAGAGACATTTTATACACCAATAACGTAGAAAAAAAATTCGTTATATTATGCAAGATAAGTCAAATAAAATTTGAATAGTAGGTCATGCCAGTAGGAATCCGAATGTATTTTTACTATTGGAATAATATTAAACGCATACGCATACGATTACACAGCAACATTACAACTAGTTACAAGAAATGTAATGAATGAATTTTTTTTTTTTTATTACAGAATTGAAAGTTATTGTAATATTATAGTAGAATCGTTCATTACCACGAAGCGCAACAATATATTTCACAAAATTTGTAACTTGTATCAGTAATACCCAATTTGTCGAAATTTCAAGTACATATGGTCATATTACAGAGTACAAAATTATTTAATATCATACAATGTTAGTGTTATATTCTTACATCTTACGAAATTACAAAATAAAAAATACTCTGTCAGTTAAATCACGTGATAATTGGTTACAACTGAAAGAAAGATACTGTTCTCTCTCTCGTTCACCTCCACTATGAATTATCGCATGACCTTACTGGCAAAGCATTACTGAACCGAATCAAGTTTCTAGACTTCTGATATTGCTGCAGCTCAACTGTAGACCCAAAATATAGATTAATATTGTGTCAACCAATGATTGGATCATAAAAATTAGTTATATTAAGTATTTCTATTTATTAAAAATTGACTCTTATTTTTCTTGACACATTTTGTACAATTTCATAATGATTTTCAGTTAATACTTATGTAGCTGCTATAATAATTAAAGCAGATGGTTGAAAGCTTCAGTGACGGAAAATTCACAAATTAATTAGTGTATAAGTGATCAGACTATACTTGCTACCCTTGGTAACAAAGTCTGTACGTATTAATTTTTGAGTTAAATGAAAAGATATAAGTACGTAAAGGTGAGAAGTAAAAACTTATTCTTTGTAGATCGTAGTACGCTTAACTTTATAATTAAATTTGAACTTCACAGAGTAAAATAAGAATAAAGAATTTTTATTATTAACAGTTTTTTATGATAGAATGGTAAATGAAAATCTTATTTTACGTAAACAGTGGTCAATGACTTTGTAAAAATTATCCTAATTTTAATATGCGTATACACCCATAAGTATATGAGTGTCTGCATGTGTTCGTCTGAATCATTTTCGATCCAGCACGTTATATTTCTTAGTATGGAAAAAATTTAATATGAAATAAATTTTTAAGAACTCTTAAAAAATAACAACTGGTGATATTTATGTAATATTTTATTTTTATTTTTAACTCTTTTCTTATATTCATTGTTTCTAGTATTATTCAACAGAAATCACTCAGTAGTGTTGAGAAATCCTAAAATTTTTAGAGTGGCACGGACTTTAGAAACAAGTTTATCTTTATAACGCCAGATGGTCGTGTCCTGAATACGTTTTTCTCGATATTCTATACACGTTTTTTTTAAAGACTTAACGCAATCAGCTCTGTAATGTTGCAACTGCGCATCTTCAGTGTCAATAGGATAACTTGAGCATCCGGCACCAAGGCATGCTAGAGGAAAATGATTGTGTAATGTGACAACTCGTTCTGGATTATGGAAGCACTTGATGTATTGATTTGGTTTTGTAAAGTTTTTCGATCTGTATACATGCTGTAACATATGCATATACCTGAAACAAATGATTTTGAATAGTTTGAATCAATTTTTTTTGCACTGACTATCTTTCTTCACTCATATTACAAATCAAAATAATTTTTTAATTCTGTCATGCTGTATTGTGCTATTAGAATAAAAATATATTTAAATAAATTTCTTAGCACTGGTTCCTAATGAGTTTGTAAGTATTGTAATGTACTTTTAAGCTGTATTTTAGACTATTTTTTACTCAGTAATGCACTTTAATTATTTATTATGCAGTATACATTATTATTTAAGAAAGTAATAATAACGATAACTATTTTGTATGCTAACGTGTTTGTAAAAAAGGAGTAACAAAAAAGTTCTTATACTAAATATCAGTCTACCATTGATTTATTAATTATTTAAGCGGTGTAATTAAGACGTGTGTAAGAAATAGCCTAGAAGGAAAAAAGAGTTTTGAAAGGATTCATTAAGTATTAAAACAGATCTAATGAATCATCCAAGAACTTATAATTTGGCCTATAAGGCCTTATTTTAAGTTAATAATTTAACGTTACTATTATAATATTATATGATATCATATTACAACGAAAAAAAAAAAAAAAAATTTAGTTTGAAAAAAAATAGGAATAACATTTCATACCTAAATAGACACAAGCATTATACTTTTTTGTATTTTGTTTTTCTTGGTTATCTGGTCTGTCAAAGACGACAATCACCATTTAAAAATCTGAGCCATGACACTCCAGTTGAAATCCATCGTTAAATAAAATTCAATAAATCTACCTCTAAATTATTAAGGTATGCTGGTCACAAAAATAAAAGTATAAGTCATCAAAAATTTGAAATTTATCCATGAATGTTACAGGGCATTATGGATTATGTACCAAATGATCTCGTTATTTTAAGTTAAATATCCAAAATTTAGCTACATGAGACGAAAACTGAAATTATACTATTGAAAGAGTTTTCTTTCTAACGATATCCTGAAAGTCGAAGGATGCTTAGCAGAAAAGCAATGATAATAAGTGTAAAAAATCCTCATGTAGAGGTAAAACGACGCCTTCATGACAAGCTTCCTAAAAAAAAAACGTGTCTTGGTAAAAATAAAGCCTGAAGAGTGGTAAAAAATTATTCTAGAGGTCCTGGGTACGATTTTCCGTAAAAGCAAATTATTTAAAAAAACTGTTCTCACGCAAAAAGGTTCCTATAAATGTTAGCTGCTAGGCGGCAGGTTTTTCCGTAGTATTTTTCTTCAGAGTGGTTCCACAATAATTTTTTCACACCACATATGTGTGGGCCTGAATAAATGTAAAACAGTATTAGGGATTTAGTTAGCGATAAACAAATCATCGCTGTAACCCGGTGAAGAAACCTTTGTTTTGTTAAAGTTTATTTTAATTATTTAAAAACAACGTTCAATGGTGGTACTATCATATTTTGTATTTATTAGCAAAATAAAACAACGTTTCAGCCGTTTGGATAATGTCTCGGACCAAATTAGGTACAAAAATCTATAAGTAACAAAAATTCTTTACAATACAAATTTTGGTAAAATACAATAAACGCAAATTAAGTTAAGTGTATAACATACCTCTGACTCTTACAACAGGGATGCAAAATCGTAATGTAGTCAGAGTTTCAAGTTTAGTTGCTCTTATACCCTGCACATACACAAATGATATAGTACACGCATGTAATATAATCAAATAAGAATCGTAAGCAGTTTCTTGTGAGACGTACATAAACAGCTTATGTTTTCCTTATACTATAAATAAAAGGGGTCCTCAAATCATATATATCAAGTTAGTCCACTTTCTTATTTGACTTAACAAGGGACTTATAACAACTTTTTAATTTCTCTGTATCTTATTGTCTATACTATTATTCTTAAAGTAATGTATGGTTCACATTTCGAAAAAAAGGCGCCTTTTGTACTTTTATTGTATGTCTGAAATTTTTATTTTATTAAAATTGAAGTTATGTGTAAATTTAATACTATGTTGTGATGGTACAGATGTATCCTTTTTTTTCTATGTCTCTTTTATGCTCTGCCATTTTTAACTTTACAGGTCTCGATGCTTGACCGACATAACACACTGAGAGAAGTGGTGTTAGAAAAAGTGTTACAACTATAATAAAAATTACTATATTTTATAGGAAAGCTAGGACATACTCGCCATATTATGAATACTACTATGGTACATAGTAAAACCAGATTTTATTAAAATTTGCTATTTTGACATAGTAATTTTTAGACGACTCAGAAAGAAGTGGTGTTAAAAAAAGTGTTACAACTATAATAAAAATTACTATATTTTATAGGAAAGCTGAGACATACTCGCCATATTGTGAACATTACTATGGTACATAGTAAAACCAGATTATATTAAAATTTGNGTATTTTCATAATATTTTTATTTTCAAAAAGATCTGCAGCGACTGGGATTTGAACCTTTATCCTTGAGCTTTCAAGTCAGGCTCCGCATCCACTAGACCACGGGACATGATTTCCATGCGAGTGTAAATAGAGTACATCTGGGAACGTTTACTGTTTATCATATACACAATAAAGTTAAAAAATCAAAAGGTTTTCTGTGGACCACGGTATTAACAACGGATAGTTAGTCGATTCCAAATTAATTGTCGGCATGTATAAATTTTTAACCCTGATAAATCAAATAATTTGTTTCTCTTGATATTTACATTCGTATAACCTTAAATTTGAAACTCAATAGGCATATATACGTATATACATCTTACGAAATTACTTTTCAACATAGTAATTTTTACTATACTGAATAGCAATGTAGTGGAATGAGAAATTTTAGTACATCACATAGCAAATTCTACTTTAGAATGTGGTACGTTTTAAAACGGTTACAATATTTATGTTGTCGTGTCGCAAAAATTATACTGTCACAATTTTTACTCTCTTAGATATAGTAATTTTTATTATGCCGTGAAATAATTTTTGTAGGGCTACTGCATAATAAAAATTACTTAACATGTAATCAAAATTATCTTAAACGTAATAACTTTGCGTCATCAGGTGAGTATAGCTTA